CAGATATCTGAAGTCAGATATCTGAAGTCAGATATCTGAAGTCAGATATCTGAAGTCAGATATCTGAAGTCAGATATCTGAAGTCAGATATCTGATGTCAGGGCGGTGGACTTAGAATAAGAGAGACTGCAGAATGTGACAGCCCACAATGTCTTCACTCACCAGGAAATGTCCATAATGGATTTATCGAAAAGATCATGGATGACCACAAGAGGGCGCTTCAGTGAGGTGAGCTGGAGCAGAGAGAGCGAGAGAGACTTTATTTTTTTATATCCTCCCAAACAGCTACTAAAACTGGATTTGGCGATTCCTGGTGAGAAACCACTGAACTGGAAAAACTGCCCTCACTTGGTTATTAATGTACATGTCATCACATCAATAAGCCATGAAAACTGCAGCTTGACTAAGGAATGAGAGTACTAACTTTTATGTTTTACTATCATTATTTTAAACTTTAAAACTGTGGGTTTTTTACTGACCCAGACGGAGAGCGATCGGTCTTTGCTGCCAACAGCGCAGCAGCAGTACGGACAGCTGGGCTTCGGAGAGCTGCCGTTCTTCTGCTTCTTCTTGAAAATCTTTGGGTTGAATTTCTGTAGGAACAGAAACCAGACGCATCAATAAGTAGCTTTTCTTTTGTTTAAATATAGATTTACTGGCTGAACATGTCGCTAGCACATCCTCACCACCACGGTGACAGCTTTACGGTGGCCCACAAAGTCCATATTAGTCTTCCAGCCATCTCTCTCCACAATCTGAGCGGTGGGGCCGGAGTTGTTCATTGCATGAGCCGACACAAGATACTGACCGTCTGGAGACCAGGACAGACGCAGGACGTGGGTCGTCCCACCGCACTGAGAGTGAGACAGAAAGAGAAAAATCCCTTAAACTGTGATGACAAAATAAAATCAAAACCTAAATCAATTAGTGGAAACACACAATGTATACAGTGGGTTCCAATCAAAGCGAGAGTGAGTGTTTCTGTACCTCACTGAAAGGTTTGGTGATGTTTGCATCCATCTGCCAGTCCACCGTCCGCCACACTTTCAGACTGTGGTCGTCAGCCTGGGAGGCGATGTATTTCCCCACTGGATCCCATGTGAGGCCTTTCACCAGGCCAGTGTGTCCTCGCAGAGTAGTGACCATCTCTGAATAGATCATTAAGACAGTTGCAGAGTGTGCAGAAAGTGTTTTTTCCCTCTCAGTTAAAAACAAAAGACTTTTGTAAATATGAGCATTTTCTATTTTCCAGAGGCTGAGCTGTGGTTAAACTTTACCTGGAAATTTGCGAGCGTTCCAGATCACAATGGTGTTATCCACACTGCAGGAGGCCAGCCACACGTCACGAGGAGACCACGCCACGTCCAACACATCTGCAAACACAGCACAATGATAACAAATGATGACAATGGTGTGACACTTTTCTTTTTTTGACATTGATATGTCAAAGGGGATTTAAAGAAAGAAATTTACCAAGTAATGTACTGAATGTTGAAGGGGAAAAGATCTGGCTATTATCTAAAATATTTTTCCACTTTATTTTTGTTTTTATGATTTATTCATCGTCTTGTTTCAGGAAATTCTTTTGTTTTTAAACATTTAACCACACAGCTGTTAGACCTCGAGAACACACACAATGAACAGAGGCTCTTTAACTAGCTAGGTTGGTGGATGTGTGCAGATGTTCAGTATCTGTGAACATCTGCAACTTCTCTGTGCATTTTCTGAGTCTATTACCTCCAGTGTGGTTCCTCAGGATTGTGACACACCTCCACTGCTCCACATTGGCCAACTTGCTGCTTGACCCAAACACTGTGCTGGGACCGATGAACCTACAGGGAAAAGAAACACACAGACAGACAAGATTAAAAAGCAGCAAATGTGAATGCTGACATAATTATCAACAATGGAGATTCACCAGAAAACATCAGTGAGAGGAAGTTAGCTTGAACTAGCAGGAAAGGGATAGCATGCATCCAGTCAGTTCATACACAGAGAAAGAACTGGGACATACTTTAAAGTAGCAAAGAATAATAAATATAGACTTTGTTACAAAAAATACTTGTGTAATAATCATCTTTTATGGCTTTTGGCAACAAGAGCACTTCGTGTGAGTAACATATACCAGCAACTGAACGAGGTATCAACCTACTGCAAGTTCTGGTTATTCTGGTTGTCCAGCTTGGAAGCAAATTTCCAGAGAAGAGCTACGAGCTGCAGTATAGGATGTCGAAGTCTGTCCAAAAACCCCCTCTGGCAGTCTTAGTTACACTCTGGTGTTATTTTTATTCATGCAGCAAAATAAATAAATAAAAGCTAAAATTAGGTCCAAAATATATTTAGATATATTTATGTGACCGTTCTGCCGTCGGTGGCCCACCCAAGTAAAGTATATGTGTAGGAAACAGTGTGTCAAGATCCAAAAGTGGCCAGTGGCATGCCTCTCCTGGAGCTGTGAAATACACCGATTATAGCTGTATACCATCCATCAGCAGCAGCACATCATCCAACAATAGCTGACAGCTGTAGAATCTGCATATGCCCCAACTCCAGCAGTAGCATACCACTGGCAATTGTTGGATCATGGTGCTGCAGAATTATTAAGGTTACAAAAATAGTCAATTTTTGGTTTTTTGGCTTAATTAAACAGCCCTAGTTTACAACAGTGACTCATATGATTGACCATTGAACAGCATGCTGGTGTTACTAGAACAAAAAAATTGAATAGGATAAATAAATAATATTGATGCAAGTTTATTAAAGTGTAGATCGTTGTAATATAATGCACTGTGGAAAGCCGTAAAATTGCCGCCTATCACACACACACACACAATCTAGTGTGCGTTCACGCTGACACAAAAAGTTTCCCATTCTGCTTTCAGCTCAGTCACCATGGAAACGTCCTTGTTTGGCCGTCTTTCCAGACGTTTCTCGACAGATAGTGAATGCTGTTTATCATATTGAGCGAGTGACTGTGTGTATACATACGCAGCTCTCTTCCACACCATGACCAGCTTGTCGTCTCCTCCAGAGGCCAGATACAGCCCATTGTTGGACCAGCGCACACAGTTCACACAGGCTGCAGAGACACACACAAACACTTCTGCTCACTGAGGCTATAAATACAGTTTGTATGGATTAGTGCTGAGGAGGCTGGTAGGGTGGACAATAACAGCACCTGCAGATCAAGATGCTCTCATTATTAAATATGGCTGCTTGTTATTAGGTCACTGAACACAGCAGCAGTTTATGTCAGTGGCAGTTCATGGAAGGCGAAGTGATTTTAATTTCCTGTCGCTGTTATCTCCATCCATCCAAGGTCAACGTTTCCGAACGTTTTAGTCAGATGGGTTTATAGTTATAGATTTCCTTTCTTTCTTTTTTCATAGTGTAAAAGGTCTACTTATTTTTTTAAATAGTTACTTTTCCTTAGTTCTTTTTTATTCAAATCACATTCTGAATACATCTTGAACTCTTTCAGACTTATCTTATAGTATTTAACTAACATTTTTACTCACTGACCCCCTTGTTGTGTTATATTCAGCTTTATACATCAGATTTGTTGTATTTGATTTACATTTTTACTTAATGAGCATTTTTATTTTTTTACTCTATTTCATCAATTTAAATGACCTCTTGTTAAGGAAATGATAACAGCTGTGCATGTTGGTATTGCAGTACAGTCTACATGCATCAGATGTTTATTTGTGCAGCTTTCAATAACTGTTAAAAAACTAATTAATTAAAGAAAATTACATATACACACAGTGTGGAGCTATCGTTAGTGACCATAAGTAACCCTTAAGTTTAATTAAGGGGGAAAAATGACCTAGAGAACAAATACACTCATTAACCAACCATATATACAGACTTTGATTACCTAAGTGATTGTCCATCTGGCAAAGCATTTTGGAAATATTCTCGTTCTTCTCATCCTCCTCTCTGAGGACCGGCGCCATGTTCCAGATCATCACCTTCCCCGAATCCTCCCCTGGAAACAATCCAAGTATTTTAAACATGAAACACCTTCACAAGGAGCAACAGGGAGAATTTTTCTAAGCTGGAAAGTAAACCTGAACCCAGCTGTAACTTTCCATCAGTTAGAATACTAAGCTGTTGCTTAAAAATGATCCTAAAGGGAGAAACTTTCATTTTAGCAGTTGTTGGTTTTACCTTGGCCACCAGTTGCAAACTTTGTTCCATCGGGGTGGATGTCAACTGAAAATATGGGTTTACCTGAGAAACACAAAAATCAACATTTAATATCAGTCATCTCAATTTTAATAGATCTAAAGAACACAAAAACTGCAGACTGATATTGTACACAGGTAACCTAGAGATACTGAGAAAACTGGAGGAAATAAAGGAGTAACTAAAAGGAAAGACACCAGAGTGCATCTGGAAAGTTTACAAAACCTTTTAAGTTTTCTGCATTTTGCTGATCCAAACTCATAATTTTTACACCAATCCATACAGCACACACATGTCCCACAGTCACAAGCCAAAACAGGTTTTCTAGTGTGTTAAATGACAGCACTGACATTTTCCATTGACAAGGGTATTCAGAGCGTTTGCTCAGTACATGGCTAAAGCACATCTGATAACAACGACTTCCTGGAAATACTTTCTTGGCGATATGCTTTGGGTTGACATCTGAAGCTTAACACTGCTACACTCTCTCCTAAATTGTCTCACTAATATGCCCACAGCATGATGCTGCACCACACCATGTTGTAGTGATGGCACTAATGAGATGATTTCTGATTACCTTTAAAAACTAATGGCATCTATGGTTGCTGGTTAATTTGACACTTCACCACAGAGGCCTGATTAGTAAAGTGCTGCACCAAATTTACACCCTGCAAGCTCTACAAAGGAAATCTAGATCCTAATTGATTGTGACAGCTGGGCTCTTGAATATCTGGTCTGACAAAGGCCTTTCATCCTCAGTTACTCAGTTTGGTTGGGTAGGCAGCTCTAAGAAGAC